ATAAATAAATAATCAAATAAATAAATAAATAAATAAACAAATAAATGAAAATATTAAAAAGTTAATAAATAAATAAAACTCGTGGAAGGGGGAATGGAACTTGATTGTTAGGACAGGCGATTCTCTTACATAGGTGGCCATTAGATCAAGTTTGATGGTCTAGTCAAAATTGTTCAAGGCAGTACCCCATTGTCGAGGAGAAATGCTGTTTTTGAGTTTTTGAACCTTGTCTTTAAAAGACAATGAAAGTTTTCTCTATAAACCCAACAAATATACACACCACGGAACTAAACTTCTCCTGTAGGTAGGGCAATGCCCACTTTTGGTGTAAGTCAAGATTTCTGGAAACCCCCGAAATCTGGGTTAGCCCGCTTGTCCTTAAAAGCGACCAAATGTCGTCGTCATCGACAGGTGGACGTCTTGGGCAGTGTCCCCATCATCATCGTCAAGTGCTAGATCAACGACAGACATCGGCGATCATGGTTCCGCGTTCATTCCTTTGCTCGGATGCTCTTTAAAAAGAAAATCTTTAAAAACTGAGTGAAAAACAAAACTTTGCAACTTCTTAAAATCAACCATACTATTTCAAAGAGTCACTATTTGTGCATAGAAGAACACATTTATGCCCCCCCCCAAAAAAAATCATGTTGCCAAATAAAGCCAGGGAGGTGATAGCTATTTAAGTCTCCAGGTGTTGTCCATTTCTCTCCACACAAGCTCCAACATGCCACTGGAAATTTCGAAAAATCCAATGGCGTGTTTTTAGTCGATTCTTTGGACTTCCTGTTCATCATTGAGTTTCAACTGTATGATCGTTTGTGACTTGTTTCCAAAGACTATGTCTGCCAACCCCCACCCAAAAGTAATAATTTAAAGGGCTCAAGTTTGGGCTCATTTGTGATATATAAGGCGATCCCCAACCTTACTTGCTACCATACAAGGACCACTCTAGACCTTTGGTGTGTAGCCCCACCCCACCGGAACCAGGCCTCTACAGCAAAAAGCCCTCTCCTCCCAAAACTTTCCCCAAATTTTTTCAGCAAGGTGAGATGTTTCATCTGATGTGACTGTTGTGGTTGTACCTGAAACCAGAACGGGCAGATCACACTCCTGTAAGTGAATGTTTCTAAGAAATGAAATTTTGCGCTTGACCCAAATTTGGTTGACAATTTTAAAACTTGTTATTTTACGGGGGCGTTGATGGATTTTCTTCACATTTGCAAGCTTAATGTTCCCCTGGTTGAATTTTATTTCTTTGAAGTTTTGTAAGAATTAGTCCAGCAATGACCGAATTATTGCCCTTTTTAAAACCACCCTGGAGGCCTACTACCTCATTTGATTTCATTTCACACAGAGCAGAATCATCATAAAAACCAACCGCAGGTGGAAGTGGGAAGAGGTCGATTGTCTTGGACAGGTGGCCGTTAGAGCAGTTCTGGTCGTATTGCAAATTGCAATTGTAAATGTTTTACGCCCCTTTTGACACACTTTAGAGAAAAACTGGGAGGTGGGGCTCCTTCGACACTGCCAGCAAGGGGCAATCTGTGCAAAAGGGGATTCATCACCTCAGCAGCAGAAGCGAAGCCTTTACATAAACATTTACAGTGAAAACAACAAGGCAACGACAAAGCAATAACAGCAACGAAAACAACAACAACAACAGCAGCAGCAACAAAGACATCACCTCTTCCACCACCACCAACAAGAACAACAACATTACCAGCACCAACAAAAATACCGTAACAACTACAGCAACAACAACAAAACACCTCCACCATCAACAACAAAAACACCACCACCAACAACAACAACAATACCGTAACAACAACAACAACAACAACAACAACAACAACAACACCGTGACAACAACATCAACCAATAAACAAACACAACAACAGAGAGGATCCGAACCTTGATCCTGCCGCTCCGTACCCAGCAGACGGGAGAGGTAGAGGGGAGAGCACTCTATCCCCGCGCCACCACTCCCTCCCTCCGACACAGGAGAGCTACAAGCTGCCGCCATCTTTACCACTTCCAGCTGTGTGGCTCCCGCCTTGTGAGGGTGACAGATCTGGACAGATAGAGCTCTGACGTCACCAGCAGATGGAGGGAAATTCCGCGACTTCCAGATCTAGTTCTAGACACAGCAGCCCATTGTTTGTGGCAGCTGAGCTGTGGAGCATACGCGTTATATAATATATCTATTATCAGCTCCTCTTTACTTATATCTATTTATATTTTAAAGTCAGAGTTTACAGCACTTGCGACACAATTAATTAGTAGGTCATATAAGTGCCGAGTATTAGAGATGTTATTGGAGAAAAACAAACATACACAAAAAAGAAGGAGGAGAGATAAGGACGATAGACGTTTGATAGGACAGAAGGAGCAAACCACATCAGAGCACTCATCAACTACCTACTTCAGCTCCCTACCACGAGCAGCAGATTAAGAAGTAGGGTAGGGGGGGTCATTCACATAACTTGTCTAAGGTCTAAAATGGTCGCTTTTAAGCACAAGGGGGCTATCCCCAAAAATGCAGTTTTGGGAAAATCGAAGGCACAGTTTTTGGACTCTTGTTCGGTTTCTTTAAAAGACAAGGAACGTTTTCTCTATAAGCAAACAAATATACACACCAATGAACCCTAACTTCTCCAATAGGTACGGCAATGCCCACCTTTGGTGTAGGTCAAGACTTCTGGACCCCCGAAATCTGGGTTAGCCCGCTCGTCCTTAAAAGCGACTAAATCACGACTCTTGAAAAATGGGTTGTTGGATCTGGATTTCAAATGAACTATTTTTGTCAAGCAAGTCTTTTTTTTCTCATAATAAAAACGTTCGAGCGCACGCTTTATCATCGGCTACACACGCACACACACAC